GACAAACTAGAAGAAAAAGATACTTGCAAAGCAAATTTGCATTACAAAGTACATACACTTTGATAAAGTTGGTTTCATTCTATAAACACAAGGAGATTCCACATACAGATATCAATTAAGTGTCACCCAGCACACAAAATCAAGGGCAGAAAGCCCATTCAATCATCTCAATAGATGCATTACAACATTTTACAAAATTTAACATCCCTTCTTGATAAAATCTCTGAAGATAATAGGTACAAAATGACATTTCTCAACATAATAAAGCTTATATATGACAAACTTAAAGCCAACATGATGCTGAATGGAAAAAAGTGAAAGCATCTCCTCAAAAAACAGCAATAAGATAAGGATGTCTATTCTCACCACTCTTATTTGATATATTACTTGAAATTTGAGATAGAGCAATTATGCAAAATAAAGAAATAAAAGAGATATGATGGTAAATAAAGAAATCAAATTATCCCTATTTCAGATAATACAATTGTATACTTGGAATAACCTAAAGATTTCATCAAATGACTTCTAAAACTGATCAACAAATGCAGAAAAGTGTCAAGAGACAAAAGCAATGAACAAAAATCAATTGCTTTTCTTTTTATTCATTTCTTTTTTATTTGTTCTTTTAGACATTCATTACAATGGAATGTACTTTGACACATTGTACATACATGGAATATAACTTATTCTACTTAGGATTCAATTCTTGTGGTTGTACATGAGGTGGAGTTTCACTGGTCTTATATTATGTGAACATAGGAAAGTTATGTCCAATTCATTCTACTTGCTTTTCTATACACCAATAATGACTCTTCAGAGAAAAAAAAATAGAAAGCAATTTCATCTTCAATAGCTTAAAAAATACCTAGAAATAAATCTAATCTATTATGTGAAAAATCTCTACATAAAATATTTGAGAATGAAAAACAATGAAGCAGGCATTAAAAGATGGAAAGACATCCTATATTCTGTAAAGGTAGAATTATTGTTAAAATAGATTTATTACCAAAAGTTATCTACAGATTCAATGCAATCCCCATCAAAATACCAATGTTATTCTTCATAGAATTAGAAAAACAATCCTAAAATTCAAATGGAAGAACAAAAGACCCAGAATAGCCAAAACAATCAAAAAGAGTAAAAGCTAAAGACACCACAATGTAAATAATATCACAATACAAATATATATATACACATACATATATGTATATCCATAAACATACATATACATATATACATATATATTCATATATATATATATATATATATATATATATATATATATATATATATTGTCCAGCATATATAGCATACAATCAATAAATGGGCAAACTGACTGAATTTGAGACACTTCTCAAAAGAAAAATTACAAATACCCAACAACTATATGAAAAAATGTTCAACATCTTTGGCCATCAGAAAATTGTGAATCAAAAGTACATTGAAATTTCATCTTACTCCAGGCAGAATGATGATTATTAAGTATACAAATAATAAATGGTGAGGATTCAGAGGTAAAGGAACTCATACACTTTGTGCAGAAATATGAATTAGTACAGCCACTATGGAAATCAGTATGATGTTTCCTCAAAAAATTAAAAATAGAACTATAATATCCAGCTATACCACCACTTGGTATTTATCAAAAAACCAGTCAGCATTCTTTAGAGATAAATGAATACTCATGCTTAGAGGAGCACAATTCATAAATTCAAGTTATGGGATCAGCCTAGGTGTCTGTCAACAGATTAATGGATAAAATGTGAGACACACACACACACACACACACGCACTTCATTATGTTTTATTAGACATAATGAAGAACTAAATTATGTTATTCAGGAAAATGAATAAAACTAGAGAGCATTGTATTACACAAAATAAGCCATATTCAGAAAGATGGGTGGGGGTACCATTTATTTTCTCTCATATATGGAAGCTGGTGAAATGAAAGACAGGGGGACTTTTAAGTCATGAAAGTAGAAGGGACATCAAAAGTTAAAAGGCAGTACTGGGGAATGAACTTGATCAAATTATGTGCATGTACCAATATGCCACAGTGAACCTCACCAATCTGTAATAATTAATATACACCAATTAAAAGAATGGAAAAAATAAGTTTGTAGACATGCTTTCTTTTTAAAAACAGTTCAAATATTTTTATTTTGGTGACCTCAAATTATTACACTGAGCTATGGTTTCTGCAATGTGGGTTTTAATAGAAAATGTTCTAATATTTTAAATTGTAACTTCAAGAATTTTTTTCTTACCTTTTTGTTTCCTGGAAGGTGATGATAAACCAGAAAATTTATTAACATAAAAATACATACATATTTTTAATTTTTAGACTAAGCTAATAATTTATTTAAAGCACATATTATGAATATAAAGATGTGTATCATTGTTGTGAATATAGAATTAAAATGCATTTTAATACACATTATTTCATTTAATATTTGCAACAGCACTGAAATGTACATCTAAAAAACTTGGTCAACATGTATTTATTTTTCCTAATCATGTATATGTTGTATAATGTTCAAATCAGAAGAAGCATACATATCTCTTCAAACATTTGTAATTTTTGTAGTGAACATTCAAAATCATTTCTTCTGTCTTTTTTGAAATGTATAGCACATTATCCTTATTTATAGTCTCCCTCATGTGACTTACATTTTGATCAAATTATAACAATGCCCATGAACAAACCTTCCCCAATGTCTTCCTCCCCAGCCTCTGGTGACCACTATTTTTTTAAAATTTTTTGACCATTTTCTTTATTGTTTCTTTTTGGTGATACATAATGATAGGATTCATCTGGAAAAAATTTAAAACCATGGAATATAATTTGTTCAAATGCAATCTGCAGTATTTTCTCTTTCTCTTCCTTTCTTCCTCTCCCTGTTTCCTTTCCTCTCTCTTTATTCTACTAATCCTTTCTGCCAGTTACTTTAAATTTTTTTTCTTGTTGGTTAGAGTCTGTGGATATACATTATGGTGAGATTCACTGTGGTATATTCATGTATACAGACAGAAAACTTAGGTTAGATTGGTTCCTCTTCAGTAATGGGAGTGTACACTTTTAATCCAAGAAATTTGGGAGACTAAGGCAGGAGGATCACAAAGGCCAGTTTGGTCAATTTAGCAAGACCCTGTCTCAAAATAAAATAATTACAAATGTCTGAGAATGTATCACAGTAGTAGAGAGGCTGAGTTCAATCCTCATACAGAAGAAGGAAGAAGAAGAAGAAGAAGAAGAAGAAGAAGAAGAAGAAGAAGAAGAAGAAGAAGAAGAAGAAGAAGAAGAAGAAGAAGAAGGAGGAGAAGAAGAAGAAAGCAAAATATACATCTAGTTAGATATTAAAACAAGTAGAGAATTATAATAAAATGACTTAACCCTTCATCATTATTATTTTTAGTGGATATGAAGATAAATCAAACTGGTTTATAATCACTCTATGATTATTTTGTCTGTCACATGTACATTTAGAGCACAAACAAAATTATATTTTAGAAATGAATTAATAATTTAATGGTTTAAGGAAATAAGATTAACTTCATTAGCAATGCTCCAATATTTAAAATTATCCTCAAAAATTCATGATATAACCCAGGCATCATGGCGCACACCTGTTACCCCAGTGGCTAGAAAGGCTGAGACAGGAGGATCATAAGTTTAAAGCCAGCCTCAGCAACTTAGTGAAGCCCTAAGCAACTTAGTGAGGCCCTATCTCAAAATAAAAAATAAAAAGGGCTGGGGATGAGACTCAGTGGTTAAGCACCCCTGGGTTCAATCGCTGATACAAAAAAAAAAAAAAAAAAACATAAGCACATAATAATTTGTGGATTAAACAGTCAATACCTAATATAGCATTTCTTTCCATACACAAAATAACTTTTAATATTTAAAATATAAATTGATCAATCACACATTGGTTCTTGAGACTGTTTAGCTACCAAGGGTGAGAAAAATCTAAACTGATATGGTCATCTTGATTAAGTGACAATCGAATAGAAGGGATTGAAGGAAGTAAGATCGCCATCATGTAGGAGAAATGGAGTGTACTAAGAAGTTCAGCTGTTTTTTCATTCTTCCTTCAGTGAGTGGTAAAAAGGACAAAAATTAGTTTAAACTGTCCCCTGTTCCAACATTTTACTCCAGTCAGGGACTAAATATCAATTTGAGAGTTTGAGTCTCTAGACTGAAAGAGAGTCTGTTACAGCCAAGTTATACCAAAAAGGGAAAAAAACATATTAAACAACAACAGATTTCTTTAAAAAATCAACAGACTCCTTTTAGGATTTGCTGTTACCCTTTCAATTATTTTTTGACAGCACTTAGCCAAGGATACTTGGAGGAGCAGGTTGTAGAACTTTTGGATGTCTTGCCGGTAATTCCTAAGACAGTTGAGAGAGTTCCATTATAAAAAGAATATAGACAATGAGAGAAATAAAATTAAACATGCAATGATGAAGAATTTTTCAGAATTGAAAGACAAGAAACATCCAATTCAAGAAGCCTCATGAAGATTAACCAGAAAAAGAAGGGTACATTCATATACAGGTTTATTAAAGTACAAATATTAAAAGAAGTCTGAGATAAAGGTTTAAAATAGACAAAGTAAGAGAATGAAAGAAGGAAGGAACAACAAATAAACTTTTTCTTAACAAAAATATAAACTTTAGCAGCAATGAAAACCATGTTTTCATATTTCTTAAGGTAAACAATTTGAAGAACTTCTATGCTGTCTAGTGTGAAATGAAGATGTCTTCAGGGAAAAAAAAAAGAATTTACCTTTAGTTAGATTGTGTGTGTGTGTGTGTGTGTGTGTGAGAGAGAGAGAGAGAGAGAGAGAGAGAGAGAGAGAGAGAGAGAGAGAGAGAGATACAATAATGATTTAAATAGAGAGAGAGAGAGAGAGAGAGATACAATAATGATTTAAATAGAAGGTGTGTCCTAACTCATGCTCTCACCTTTTGGTTATTGTTTCCCTTCCCAGAACAATTCAGGGTAAATAGCTTAAAGGGGCCAATCGTGGCTCCATTTGGTGGAGAAGTTGAACTCAGTTGCCAGTTGTCTCCACCACAGAGTGCACAACACATGGAGATCCGCTGGTTCCGCAACCGCTACACACAACCCATTTACTTGTATGAGAAAGGTAAAATTCTGTATGGAGAAATGACCCCTATGTATGTGGAGCGGACAGAACTCCTGAAAGATGCCATTGAAGAAGGTAAAGTGACCCTCAGGATCTTTAATGTTGATGTTGATGATGATGGGCAGTACCACTGCTTCTTCAGAGATGGAGATTTCTCTGAAGAGGACATCACAGAAGTGAAGGTCACAGGTGAGATGGATCCCTCTGAGGTTTTTATGCATACATGATTCTCAACCCATCTGAGGCTGAGTATTAGAAAAACTCTCAGTGTTTCAGACTATTTCTTTATTACATGATTTCATAAGCAAGTTCAAATTCGTGCATTTAGTTTTTGAACCGGAAAGAGTTCGGGATCAAGAATGAAAACTGTTTCTGTGCAGACAATAACTCTACCAGCAAATACCTTATTTTTATGCCTACATACATTATTAGATTTCTAAAAAATCAACAGATTCATTTTAGTATTTGCTGTAACCCTTTCAATTATTTTTGACAACACTACTAAAAATGTGAACTTACAAGCAACCTATATCTTTACAATAGCCTCCTTAATGATAATTCTTATTCTCACTTCTCTCTAACTCAGTTTACTGACTACTTAGTGCCAGATTAATTTTCCTAAATCTATTTCAGAAAGCCTTTATCTATAATATCCAGTGTCCTCAGTTATATATGGTATAAAAATGGTATATGCACATATAAAGCATTTAAGTCACGCTTCTCACTCTTTAAATTATTCTGATTGACAGAGAAATGCAGGGAAGATGGAGAATTTCGAGCAAACTGAAAGATTCCACAAATGTGAGCACTCAAACGTAGGGCTCCAAGGCCACTAACCTTTAACATCCTTATCAGACATTATATGACATCCAATTCTATAGTCTATATCTGAGCTATTCAATGCTATGTGGCCCTTTAAATTTATATTTAAATTAATTAAAATTAAATAAAATTAAACATACAATTCTGAAATCTCAATTGCCCCATTTCAGGTACTTATCAATTTCCTATAGCACATAGCCACTGTATTAGCACAGATCTAGATTATATTTATTATTGCAGAAAGTTTTATTAAGCAGACCTGCTATGGGGTTACACTTTAAATCTCTACTCATTCTTTCTTTGCCCACACATTTTATCAGTTTTATGCCCCAGGAAATAAGTTAAAATTTTTCATAAGTTTATTTTCTTTAAATGAATATGTATTATATTTCAGTGATACCAGTATATTACCTATTTATGCAAAGCATATTATATGAAAATACCTGTTGCATACAAAGAACATATAAAGTCTCAATTTAAATTGCAAACCTGGGTTAATAATGTTATCGACTATCATTTATCATAATGGTTCAAAACTGATTAGGTATAAAATAGAAGAAAAGATATTAAGTCATAATACCTATGAGTTCTGGAATATTGATTGTTTTTTATTCATTATTATAATCCAAATATTTATGTAAACTCTAAGATTTAGTAAATAACCAGTAAACATTTTTGAATGAAAGAATAAATAAATGAAATAAAAAGGTGTTTCCTCACCTGACTTATTTGAGACAAGATAATCTTGTATATTATAACCCCTCTGCTTGGCTCATATTCCTTCCCTTTTAATTAGCATCTTATGGTATTTAAATCCCCATAGAGTTTTGACTAACAATATATCAAGGGCACTGATATCGAATTGAGGGGGACAGATTTTATTTCTGTTTTGTGTCTTCTTCCCTTCACCTAAAAGTACTATTTTCCCCCTTTATATCCACTCAGCTACAAGCTCAGACACACAGATTCTAGTGCTTCCTTCCAATATTGATGATCTTAGAGTGGAATGTAATTCAGGAGGTTGGTTCCCACAGCCTCAAATGGAATGGAGAGACAGCCAGGGAAAGGTCCTCCCACCTGCATCAAAATCTCACTCACAGGACACAGATAAATTGTTCAACATGAAGATGACCCTTTTTCTCAGCAATACCCACCCTGGGGATGTCACTTGCTACCTTAGAAACCCTCTAACTGGCCAAGAGGAAAAGACAAACATTGTTTTACCAGGTGAGATCTGTGTGTTTGTTCTCCACATGATAGCCATTGTCACATGATATATATACAGAACCAAAAAAAATCAAATTATAGCCCTTGTCACACAATTTATAAACACATAGAAAAATTCAATTGCTTTCTTCACTTGATTTCCAAGATATTACTTCCTCTTAGATTTATCAATCATCTTGCTTTTTGTCTTTCTTATTCTCTTTGCCACATTCATTATTTTTTACTGTTCTCTTGATATTAGAATTCCCAGGGCATAGTTTTTTCAATTTTTACTTTCTCACGAGTATTATTCTGCCTTGTGGCTTTAAATACCATCGATATGATGATGGCTTCTCAAATCACATCTTCTGGCCAGACCTCTCTCCCACTCTGTTCTCATCTCCAACTCAGCATCTCAACATAGGAGTCTAGTAAGTATCTGAAGCTATGTATATAAAAAAATGAAACTCCTGATTTAGTTACTGCCTTCCCTATCACAATTCATAGTTTCAATTTCTCAGAACAACACCCTTAAACTCATCCTTGACTACATTTTTTCTCATATTCTATATAACATCTGTCAAGAAATAATGCTACATCTACCTCTAAAATATATCCAGAGTCTCATCACTTCTTCCCACCTCATCACTGCTGTCCAAGTCAGATACCATCCTCCACTGAGTGAAGTAGTGAAATAGCACCTTAAAAATTTTCTGTTTCTGCTCATATTCACATGGTATATGCTCATCATGCAGACAACAAGACCCATCTCAAACATGAGACATAAAACACCACAATCTTTCAAAATCCTGCAATTGTTCCCCATTGTACTCAGAGCAAAATAACCCACAATATCCTGTATTGCCTGTGTTCCAGTTACCTAGCTGACCTTATCTCTTGGTGTTTTCCTTTGTCCACTTGAGACACATAGACTCCTTGCTGTCCCCGTATATGCAGATAAGCTCCTGCCTTGGGGTCTTCACTCTAGTTGCTCCCTCTTCCTAGAAACATGTAAATCTCACTAACCTCCCTTGTCTCCTTCAAGTCTATGCTAAACTCTCAGCTTCTTAATAAGGACTGCTTTGACAAACCAACCTGAAAAAAATGAAACCTGCTCCCTCCACCTGAGGTCCCCTATCTCCTCACACTTCTTTATTTTTTCATTTATAGTATTATTATTGTCTAACCCACTGCATATCTTAATTATTATACTTATTGTCTCTTATTGCTCTCCCTCTCTAAAAATAAAGGTGGGGATCTTTGTTAGTTTTATAAACTGAGACACATCAACTGCTTCAAATATTGCATTAAAAACCTATGTTTTAAAAAATTATATTAACACAAATATTGGAGAATAAGTTTCAGTTCCAGGAAATACAGACATTTCAGAGACATCTTATGTTTCATTCACTGAATATCAGAATACTTGGAAAGAGTCAATATTCATGATTTTAAAAAATCATTTGTCCTTGTCTGACTAGTGATTAGGCAAAAGTTTGTTTTGACTTCATTGGGTTGCATTGGATTGGTGGGGAGGCTTTTCAGGGTGTAGGATCAGTTCCCGAGCCATGGGGCTCTTAGTCCTATGAATTACATGTATGGAAAGCACCAGCTCAAAATAGCTTTATGCCACACCAAATATTCACAATGGCATATCAGAACTCTTGTCTGACTCTAGAGCAGCCTCCTGGATTTATTTCCTCAAACAGCATTGCAGGACATAATGTGGTGTTCTAGGTGGAAGAGGGTTTTTTCCTCTGGGAAGAAAGACATCAGATTTCCAGACAAAATGGCTGGTGTCATGTTCCATATGCACAAGCTAGTAGGCCAAACCAGATGCTTGTTCAGATGAACAGGAGAGAAGGAAATTTTACATAAACTATGTCTTTGAATGTTTTCAAGAAGAGTAATGCCAGACCCAAAGAGTACATTGGATAATTCAAGGCTGCACATATTCTGATAGACAAGAGGACTAAAGGATTGATTTGGGACTGACCTTATCATGGTCCCTGTAAACCTGTGTTTAAGTATTGGATCAGGTTTAGGGAGAATAGCTTAGCTCTGCCTCTTGTACTCAGAGGGCTCATGAGACTGAATGGATGAGGAGAAATAGAGTGTCCTGTGCTAACCTTTGTGCCAGCTTTACAATAATTCACACCTGGCTCAGCCTCACTCTAGAACTGGTTTTATTTTTCATCCACCCAGTCATAAATACTTCTCCAAACTGGTTTGTATTTAATATTCCACGGTGATGGTATCTTGAGTGGGAACCTGCTTTGTATGAATCATCATTCGTAATTGGGTTGGTCCAACACCCCAAGTTTTCTAAGAAGTAAGATCAGTAACTTTCCAATTCAATTAACTCTTCATTTCTGTTAACTCTCCATTTCTATTAGGGCGGAAAATGTTTCTGCAGATGACAATTTGGTTGGTAATTCTGCTTACATTTCTGATCATATCTATATTCCCTATCATATATATCCATGTTACAACACGAATCAAAGGAAACCGAGAAGGTAAGTTGGTTTGAAGAGTAGGAAAGGCAAAGTGAGAGAACTAAAGATGCATGACCTTTTATTCCCTATTCTGTGCTCAGTACATTCTAAATTCTTGGGTGACCATTTATATATGTGTGCTGCACTCATTCCTTTCTCCTAGATATTTTTCTCTTATTGCTGGAGCTGCTTTCAGTGCTATATATATGAAAGCCTGAGCTTTTTTTTCTATTAGATCATTATAATTATACATACTAATTGGATTCATATTCACAAAATAACACTTTCAAAGAATTTGGTTTAAATCCCCATTCCTGTGCCCTTCCCCGCCCCTCTAATTTTCTCCCCTCTCTTCTATTGATCTTCCTTTTACTCCATTATTTATTTATTTTTATTGAAATTTTCTACATACATATACATGTAGGTGAAATTCTTTTTGGTACACTTACATATGTATATAACATTACATAGTTAAATTCATTACATATTTCTACATTATTCCCTTCTTTCCTCCCTCCTTCTCATTCTTCTTCTACCTTATATCTTTATGATATACTGTCTCCTCCCCTGCCATCTTCTTTCCCTATTTTGATTTAGCTTCCACATATTAGAGAAAATACTTGGCTCTTGATTTTCTCAACCTGCTCTATCTCGTTTATCATGATGTTCTCCATTTTCATTCATTTGCCAGTAACACCATTATTTTATTTATCTTTATGACTGAGTAAAATCCATTGTGTATATATAACACATTTTCTTGATCCGTTCATCTGTTGATGAGCATCTAGATTGATTTTATAATTTAGCTGTTGTGAATTATGCTGCTGTAAACATTGAAATGCCTACGTCTCTATAGTATACTGATTTTTGTTCTTACAGGTATATTCCTGAAATATGAAGGATATAGTGAGGTAGCTGGGACATATGATGGTTCCATTCCTAGTTTTTTTGAGGAGTTTCCACACTGCTTTACATAGTGGTTATACTAATTTGCAGTCTCATCATCAACATTTGAATATACCTATTCCCTTATATCCTCAGTAGATTTATCATTGTCTGTGTTCTTGATAATTGCCATTCTGAGTGGGGTGAAGTGAAATCCTAGTGTAGTTTTGATTTGCATTCCCTAATGCTAAAGATGTTTAACATTTTTTCATGTATTTGTTGGCCATTTGTATTTCTTTTTATGAGAAATGTCTGTTTAGTTGGATTATTTGTGGGTTTTGGCATTGAGTTTTTTATATATGTGAATATTAATCCCCTATCAGGGGATTGGCAAACAATTGTTTTTTTTGGCTGACAAAGATTGCTTTTCCCATTCTGTTGGCTTTCTCTTCACTATCCTAATCATTACCTTTGATGTGCAAAACCATTTTATTTTGATGGCATCTCATTTATTGATTCTTGGTTTTATTTCCTGAGCTTTAGGGGTCTTGTTGAGGTCAGTGCCTCATCTCTTATTATTCCAAATGAATTTAAAGACCGATTTATCTAGTTCTGTGAAAAATGTCATTGGTATTTTGATGGTAATTGCATTGAATGTGTATACCTATTTGATAGAAGAAAACACATGATGAACATTCTAACAGTTGCATGGCTTCTGGTCTACTTCCTAAGCCTTTGATCCATTTTTATTTGACTTTTGTGCAGGGTGAAAGATAGCTAATTTTATTCTTCTATATATAGATATATAATTCCCTTAGTACAATTTGTTAGAAATGTTGTCTTTTCTCCAACATACACTTTTAGCATCCTTATCAAGTATCAGATGTCTGTAAGTATTTGGGTTTGTCTCAATGTCTTCTATCCTCAGTATTCTATTTCATTGGCCTTCATGTCTATTTTGGTATCAGTAACATGCTGTTTTTGTTACTATAGTAGAATTTGAGGTTGGGTATTATGATGCCTCCTGCATCATTTTTCTTGTCTAGAATTGCTTTGGCTATTCTACATCTCTTATTATTCCAAATGAATTTAAAGACCATTTTATCTAGTTCTGTGAAAAATGTCATTGGTATTTTTATGGTAATTGCATTGAATGTGTATACTACTTTTGATAGTACAGCCATTTTGGGCAACATTAATTTTGCCTACCCAAGAACAAGGAAGGCCTTTCCATCTTCTGAGTTCTTTTTTTTATTTCTTTCTTCAGTACTCTGTACTTACCATTGTGAAGTTCTTTTGACTTTTTTGGTTAGATTAATTCCCAGATTTTTTTTAGGTTATTGTGAAAGGAATGTTTTTCCTGATTTCTTTGTCAATTGAATTGTTGTTGGAATACAGAAAAGCTATTGATTTATGAATGTTGATCTTGTATCCTGATTCTTTGCTAAATTTAGTTATCAGCTCTAGAAGTCTTCTAGTTAAATTTTTTGGGGTCTTTTAAATATAGGATCATGTCATCAGAAAACAGTGATAGTTTGATGTCTTCTTTTCTGATTTGTATCCCTTTAATTTCCTTCTCTTGCCTGATTTCTCTGTGAAGAGTTTCAAGAAGTATATTGAATGTAAGTGATGGGAGTGAATATTCTTGCCTTGTTCCTAATTTTAGAGAAAAACTTTTAGTTTTTCTCCATTTAGTATGATGTTGACTTTGGGTTTGTCACATATTTATATTGTTGTGGTAAGTCCCTTCTATCACTAGTTTCCCCAGCGCTTTTAACATGAATATTTGCTATATTTTTATTAAAGGCCTTTTCTACATTTATTTAGATGATCATACAATTTTTATTCTTCTATTTAAATGATGAATTACATTTATTTTTGCATCTGTTGAATCAACATTGTATCCCTTGAATAAAGACTGCTTGATTATGGTGTATTGTCTTCTTAATATGTTTTTGAATGTGGTTTGAAACATTTTTTGAGAATATTTGCATCTATGTTCTTCAGGAATATTGGTTTGTAGTTTTCTTTCCTAGATGTATCTTTATCTGGTTTTGGTGTCAGGGTTATAGTGGCTTCATATGATATATTTGGGGGTGTTCCCTCTCTTTCAATTTAATGGGATAATTTGAGAAAGACCTGAGGAAGATCTGGTAGAATTCTTCTGAAAATCTATCTGGCCCTTGGCTTTTCTTTGTTGGTAATCTTTTAATTGCTGTATCAATTTCATTACTTTATATTGGCTTATTTAGGTTTTTTATATCTTCCTGGTTCAATTTATGCAGGTCATCTGTGTCTAATAATTTGCCAATGTCTTCTAGGTTTTGCAGTTTGGGGGAGTATGTTTTTAAGACAGTTTCTAATGATCCCCTGGATTCAGGAGTATCTGTGGTGATATATCCTTTTTCATGCCTAATTTTATTGATTTGTATCTTCTTTTTCTTTTGGTTATTTTTGGCTAAGGATATGTCAATCCTTATCTTTTCAAAGAGATAACTCATTTCTCTTTTCATCCTGTGTATTTTTTAATAATTTATTTTTTAGTTATAGGTGGACACAATATCTTTATTTAAATTTTTATGTGGTTTTCGATTAGATCATTATAATTATACATATATAATATGTATATGTTATCGAACCCAGTGCCTCATGCATGCTAGGCAAGCGCTCTACCTCTGAGCCACAACCCCAACCCCCTGTGTATTGTTTTTTATTCTTAATTTCTTTAATTTCAATGTGATCTTAATATTTCTTTCCTTCTACTAATTTTGGAATTGGTTTGTTCTTTTTACTCTAAGGCCCTCAGATAGAGTGTAAGTTTATTCGAGATCTATTTTTTTTTTTTAGTGTAGGCACTGAATGCATAATTTTTCCTCATAGTACTCCTTTCATACTCTCCAAGAGATCTTGATATGCTGTATCCTTTTATTACATTGGTTTCTAAGAATTTTTTTACTTCTTCTCAGTTTTTTTATTTGGGCCATTCTTCATTTAAAAGAGTATTGTTGAACCTCCATGTGTTTATGTGGTTTCTGTCATTTTACTTGCTGTTAATTTCTATTTTCATTACATTATGATCCAGTATGAGGCATAGGATTACAAATTTTTTTGTATTTTCTAAGACTTACAGTATGATCTAGAATGTGGTCTATTTTGAAAAAAGATTCCATAAGCTGATGAGAATAAAATAAATTCAGCTCTTTTTGAATGAAATATTCTGTAGATGTCTATTAAGTCCATTTGATTTATAGTATTATTTAGGCTGGATGTCTCTTTATTGATTTTATATTTTTATGACCTATATATTGGTGACAAGTGTATATTGAAATCTCCCAGTATTGTTGTATTGGGGTCTATTTTGGATTTAATGTCAAAGAGTATATTTTTAATGTAATTGAGTGCATTGACATTTGGGACATATATACTATCATTATTTCTTCTTATTAGAGTGTTTCCTTTACCAAGATGTAATGATCCTCTTTGTCTCTTCTAATTAATGTTTGTTTGAAATCAGTTATGTCATGTATGAGAACAGCTACTCCAACTTTTTTTTGAAGTCCATTTGTATGGAATACTTTTTTTCCATCCTTTTACCTTCAGCCTGGTATCCTTACCTATGAGATGAGTATCTTGCAAATAGCATATGGTTTGATATTGTTTTTTGATCTATTCTGATAATATATTTGTTTTACTTGGGAAGTTGAGACCATTTATGTTCACTGTTATTATAGATATAATAACTTGCTGATAGATATGATGTAACTTCCTGCCATGTTTCTTTTTTTGTTATATTTAATTCTCTTGGTTCTCATTTAGATGATTGGTTTTCTATTGATCATTTTAGTTTGTGGATTTGTTTTTAGATTCTTCTGTGTGCAGTTTATCTTTGAGTATTCTTTGTAATATTGGCTTGTTTGTCTTTTATTCTTTTAGTTTATCCTTGTCATGGAAGGGTTTTAATTACCCATCAAATATGAAAGAGAACTTTGCTGGGTATAGCAATCTTGGTTGGCAATTGTTTTCTTTTTAGAGTTTGAAATATCTCATTACATACCCTCCTTGATTTTAGGGTCTGAGTTGAGAAGTCTGAAGTGAGCCTTAATGTTTCCCTCTAAATGTGACCCAATTTGGACACC